TGTTAGGCACGACTTTGCAATGGCAAATATGAGATAGCATTTAACATGGACTTTGATTGGGAGAAAAAACCAGCGAATGCAGCCGGCGGAACTTGTAATAAGGTTTTACAAAGTTTACTATGACAGGTATGGGATATATCATCAATTTTATTTTGAAGAACGGAAAAATGAAAAAAGATCAACAGAGTGGCATGGTTTGGTATGGAATTAGCTTTGAAGTGAGTGCGATGGTGCTGTGAGTTTGTCTGTAGAATTAGCATGCGATCGAAAGACTAACGAATATTTTCATGAGCTATAGCAAGGTTTGATAATTCATGTGCCGACCCAAGTAGTTTCCGAGCGTTTCTTGTGACCGGGTTGTCTCGATACTTAAAATTTACGGTGTTTGCTTCTCATTTCAGCGCGAAAACAGCGTATCTCTAGCAACTAAGTGTTTTGAAATGCGCAATTTTGACATCAGGATCACAGAGAGCCTTTTTAAAGGACGAGTGAGCCTAAATTCTGAAAAGCTGATGGCCGTATTTGAGGCGAGTTCAACATACTATTCGTTAGGGAAAAAGTCACCCCATTGGAAATTCTACAACGACCAGTGCAACTTATGTAGAAGCGTTGTGCATCACACATTTTCGTTCACCTGCTGATGCGGCTATACATATGTTAAATCTACCAAACTAGGAAGTGCGAAAGACTTCTAAGTTGAAAACGATAAAAAAACCATGCATTATGTTCGAAATTTAGATTTTTGCACGTATAGTTACTTGTGCTATGCATTTTTCTCGGTGGATAAAGCAGTGTAGCCAACCGATAAAGGAGATGAAAGAGCCGTAGATCGATCGAATTAATGATAGTTAACCTAAACTCAAGCGAAAAAAAGGACAAATTCAGACAGATTTTATCGAGACATTCTGACAGATTTTATCGAGAATATTAAAACTGTGACAGGAAAAAGAACATCTTGCAAATAGTTATGCTATATATCATTTGGGATTACATTGTACCACATGGTTCATCCATACTATTTTTCATCTTCGTTTTTCTTCGAGGATTTACATATTTCATTCGGTGTAGGCGTTCATTTTTGTCGATCCTTTTTCATATTTTAAAACCAATCATCATCATTGCTATTCTCTCTCGTCCTCTCTATTATTATTATTATTATTATTATTATTATTATTATTATTATTATTATCATTATTTTGAATAATCTAAGTTTGGTAAAGTTGCTTCGTTTCTTTCAAAGCCTTCCAGGATTTTGCGCGCAAGGCAGATTCACCCAAAACCAATTCGCAACGAAATTTCCCTTCAATTGACGTCGAGCTTTAAGGGTGAACATCGTTTTCCCCCAACTTAAACCTTCCCCATGACCCTTCGATTTGAATTCATGCAGTAATTGCAGCAAAAAGACAAGCGACGACTTGTCGCTGAGTATGTTTCGATCAAAAATCTTTTATTCCCAAGATCTCCTTGGCAATTCACCAAACCATCTGCCATACATTTCTTGGAATTTTAGTTGCAAGAATTTAGTGTCAAATCAAATAATGTTGTTTATTTTCGTGGCCGTTGTTCCTGACATGGTTTTGATAAGCAAAAGGTGGACTACAATTGATAAGCAAAGGTGGACTACAATTTACACAACTGCAGAAAAGATGCCTGAAAAAATTCATTTTGACGGGATTCAAACCCGGATGTCCCAGACACTAGTAGGACGCTATTACGAAAGGCACACGTTCAAAGGCACACGTTGGGAGCGAGGCAAAGAGGTTGCTTACCTGATTTTCGTTCACAGGTTTAATTATCACAGGCCTTGTATTTTTATTCTATTTTTTTTGTATTTCTCTTTTGTTTTTTGTTTTTTTTTTTTTGGAATAATTTTGGAATAAATTTTTTCAGACACCAGAACGAAGTCATACAATGAATTTAACGTTATACTCTTACGTTTGTCGCATAGCATCAACAGTGTAATTTACGAGAGAAACAGTATTGATAAAAAAAAATTGTATCGATCGTGTGCTCTGGTCACAAAAAGTAATGAAGATTTTAATTTCATATAAATAATTCGTAAAAAAAAACTGAGGAAAAGATTTTTTCTTATCGAGTGGTTTTTTATAACCTGGATTATTCGACCAGTGTTATCTCTTATGATTCATGATATGAATTACGAAATTATGGGAGAAAGTTACTCGGAATTGCCTTTTTTTTTTCTTCGTGGTTAAGTTGGATTCAAAGTAACAATTTTTTCGTTCGGAAAAGTTTTTGCTTGGTAATCTCGATGGAAAAAATTTAACGAGCATTTCGAGGACCAGGAGGATAGTTGACGAAATATTTATCAGTGAAGGACAAACTTTGTCAGCTACTGTAGATGACATGATGGGGTTAACTTTATGGGAAAGTGTGATGGATTTAAAGGAAATTCCTTCCTAGCACGTAATCTTTGACAAGTTTCTTCGCTTAGGTCAGTTCAATGTTGAACTGTGCAGAGAAAAACTTTGTGTAAAAAAACCTTAACTTTAATTAGGAACTTGAAGGATAATTTGTTATCCACTGTTATTTCTCTTCTTTCTGCCAGTTTTTGTCCTTTCCTTCTATTTTTTTTTTTTTTAACATGAATGCTTTACATCTTACGTAGTGACCTTATTTGCATCATAGATTAATCTCCTAATGACGCAAAGATGGACAGTTTGAATGGCGACATTTCCTATTGGTGAATGGAACCCAAGTTGCGCAACATTAGTTTCGTGCAATTCGTGTTGGAGAAAAAAACCAAACTTATTTTTATAATTGATAAGTCTTATCTAAATGACGTAGAGATTAGGCTGGTAAATCTTAAGTCCTTTTGAGGTCAAAATCACCGTCGGAAGAGACAAAGTTTTCATGAAAGATGTAATATATGTTCTTTCTGCAGCATTTTTACGTACATTGTATTAAAATCGAAGCCGCAATTTTCACGAAGATCACGGATGGGTGAAGCTTAGTTACCTCGCCTGTGATCAGCGGTAGATAGGCGCAAAGGAATTTTCGTTAAAGTGGCAAACTTCCAGCATTTAGAAACCATCCATTCTGCTGGCTTCATAGTAACTTCACATCTGGTAACGGTTCGTTTGTAATTTTAAGGCGCTAGTAACGGGCGACCCTTTGTGATTATTAATACTGGCGTCAAGGTGAGTAGTGTTACACTTGACTGTCTCTTGTAGTGTTTTCTTTGGCCTGTAATGCCAATTTTTGTGGTCCCTTATCCTCGCAATCCTCTGAAACGAGTTTATCGTATTGGGTAAAATATTTACACAAGTGTTGGGAAAAATAACAGTAGATCTTGAAATAATAGCTCTTTTTGGAATTGATTACGCGTTCATGCAAGAGCGCGAACTGTAACGAAGGCTTTTTTACAGGTGAGTACCTTAGTATAGTTAGTTTGTGTGCTTCACTTTCGAAATATTAGGGTCGAAAATACTTATGAAACCGCGTGCTAGAGAGTAAAAACGTGTCACACACGAGGCGTATTCTTTTTACTTTCCATTGCACAAATTATCGCCATTGTTCTATTAGACGTCTGTGTTCAAATGTTCAATTCTCTGACTGAGCGCCGGCAGGCGGAAAAAGGAAGTTTCTCGTCTTTTCTTCGCAACTACACGGTCACGATTCGAAACTGTAGGGAAAAATCGAATTTCAGGTGACTTAAGCAGGCAGAGTTCGTGAAATAACTGGGATCATTTCGTGTAATTTTATGTTTTGACATGGGCATGGTTTATGATAAACGGAATGTAATCCCAAACATAGACTAAACATCCATAACCGAGAGCTTAAACCTGAGATGTCTCGTATGATAAGATTCAACCGAAGATCGTCGAGAGATTATTTCATGCATGGTATTGTTTTTTGTCAAATATATGAAAGGAAAAACCCCATCCATAGCGTTTAAAAATGTTGCACGATCACCAGATATCTTAATGAAAGATGTGGGAGCACGTTAGTCCTTGCCTAATCGGAAATGGATAGGAAATGGAACTCGCACTCACGGAAAAAGTCATAAACGTTGATCACGACTAGAAAATTGGATTTTTAATGTTCTAAAACTGTGTTTAACCCCTTTCGTCAATTGTCATTAACAAAAATCTATAATTACGTTCTAACGCTAACCTTTTGGGTCAGGAAACACTCATTCCTCAATCACCCAATGAGGTTGTATGCAATTAAATATCAAAACAGTTTAATTAAGTAATCATAATAATGATATCAGCGTTCAACAGTCTATCTAACATGCCGCGACCGTGTTGCTTCTTTCTTGTAGCCGGCTATCAGTGGCAGAGAATGAAAAAACTCATACCTAGCGTTTCATTGGCATAAAGCCTGAAGAAATTTTTGCCAAATCTGAGGTCAAACCAATCTCTTTCGCGTGCGGGCGTTTATTTGGAGCGAATCTTTTGGTCGTGCGCGCTTTTCCATTCCATTCTAATCTGATCTTATTCAGGGAAGGGCGAGGTAAAAACAACTAAGACGTTTTCGCTGGTTTAGATAAACAAAACTGCACGGATTAAAACTGACCCAATTGCTATTTTTGCCATAAAAATCGCGTTGAGTATGATGTTAGGTTTGAATTTCTCTTATTCGCCCTACACTTGATAGCTAATAAATAAAGCCATCCGATAGCACCTTTAAAACTGTTTAAACTCATTTTTATGATTCCGAATTCAAATAACCCTTCTTTGTGAAAAGAGATAATTTTCATATAAGCAGTAATCACACCGAGTTTGTGCAAGCTTCTTAACAAGTAATCATTTGAGAGAATCAGTCATCTGAAGCGAACACAAGATCGTAGTTACGCAATTCAAAATTCCGTAATTTCAAGTTGTTAAAAAGAAAGTTTCAACGGAAGTTTTAAATTCAGGAGTAAAAGCTTCTTTGTGCATATTCAAAGAGGTTTTCATAAATTCAACACTGTACAGCTCCATAAATGATCCCGGGACCGCAAATGATCTCAGGAGACAAGTACGCCTTTTTTTTTCTTTTTCTTTTTTTTTTTTTTAAAGGAAAACCATACCACCTAGCTTGCGAACACGGCTAACTAACTGATGTATTTCAATTAGCCAAAATAATGGTAGAATCAATGAATACATGTATAGTCAGAAACCAATATTTTCCGGTACGAATCAAATACTATACACCTATATAAACAAAGAACTGTCAACATACCGCTCCTGTAATTACTCACCACAGTTCTGGCCGATCTAAAGACACTTGAAACCTTACATAAAACATAGAGAAGATTTCTGTTTTGAATCGTTTTCTTCTTTCTTTAGTTAAAGCATTTCAGATAACTTATTTCCGGAAATTTTTCAAAATGGTGATTAATATTGTTTAGCGTAGTGGCATCCCATTCTTTTTTTGTATTTTATTTCATTTTTATCACCGTGGCCACATTAAACATTGAATGAAAATGAACTTATACTTGTGAATATGTTTCAAAGTCAATGAAGCTATCATTAACCAAAGAAATATTTTTTCCTATTCAAACGATACTGTAACATCTTTCTAGAAAAGATAACCAAGTAACACATTTTCCCAAATTTTTGAAATGCACCTAGATGATTGCTTTTGTTGTCGGTGCAACGTCGACTTGAAAAAAAAAAAATAAAGCACAGGGCCAAGCTCTCTCTTTTCAGGCAATTAGCCACTGGGCCTTATTGGGAAGGCTTTTGACACCCAAGTTCATTATAACAAATAGGTTTTTCCCTGTAATAAGCGCAAGTGTTGTTCAGGTGGCAGGCCGTTATTTATCTTGGGAATCTTTGATAATTGCTTGTCAGACCGACGCCTCTCGTGAATTTATAAGGAAAGGAATCGACGCACTTCCTTCGTTTACTACTAATAAGAAGAACGTGCTTCGGTGCTTTCTGTTGCCAAAATGTCAGTGTTACTTTTCTCACTGCCTACCGTGGGTAGTGGAATTTGAAAGCTTCAGAATTCGTAGAAATACAAGTGACTGAAAACGGCCTCACTCAAGAGGGATATATGTGCACTATAAGGTTAGTTCGGGTCAATTTTTTTTCATCTTTTTTAATCCTCTTGCGGTATCGACTGAATCTACTCGGTCGGTTTTGATGAAGTAGTCTCATTAAAGCTTATGCTTTAATGATGATTTCTTTGTTTTTAGCGAAACACTCCCAGTTCTCCCAAAGGTAGGTGAAAGATGTTGTGGGAGGTAGTCTAGAACGCGTGCTTTCGACTTCCTTGGGATGCCTCGCAGCGTTCTGAAGTGGTCTGTACGTCTTTTGTGAGCTTTGATCGAATTTTTTTAGCTACTTGTGCGAAAACAGTCACGGAGATTAAGCTTGCTTATTTTCTTTTGCCTTTTTATGTCAACATGTAAAGAATGGCTCATTCACGGATAAGCCTGCTGCGATCTAAAGGACAGAAAGGAAAAAAACACTTGGTTATCACGTTCCCTCTAAAAATTATTTCGCTTTCATTCAACGTTAAAATTTCAGGTTAATTTGACAAGAAACGAGCTTGAAAAGGTATATTTATTTGCTCGAAGAAACGACATTAATGCACAGAAAGAACGGTTGGTACGTTTCGGAAGTTCATCCATCTTACTTTCGATGGTAGTTGCTATAGAAACCGCTCCTCAGTAATTAGTCTGTTAGATAGGCAAATAAATCTTCGCGATAAAGGGAGGTTACAACGAGATTAAAAATATATTTCCCTGAAAGTAAAGGAGGAAATTCGCGCCTCGATGCAGATTGACAATTTCCGTCTTTGAAAGTTTTTCTTATCATCGGAGATGAAGCTGATATCGATAGAGGACTTTGTTTCCATGCCAGTGCTAAGCTGGCCTCTGTTGTAGAAATTTGTGCGTGTTAGCTGGCAAACGAACACCATCGATATTTCTCGAAGTATTCCCGTTACTTCCCTTTCTGTACCATAAATGTTTTGATGGTTACCTTACTGTAAGAAACTGAACAATAAAGAGTAGAATATTGCATTAAAAAGCCCTGCTGGCATTGATACCTAAGTATATTCAACTGAGATCTAAATGAAAGGCCATTAGACGAAGGCATTGTACGCCATATTGTCCCATTGCTTATGGGTTTATGGGTTGTTTATGGGTTACATTTTACTGAACTGAAACGCAGATATGTATAACTAAATATCTAGTATTTCATCGAACGAGCCCAACACCTTCTTTCAAAGAGGTTTATCGATATTCGGCCTCCAGATCGTAGGGTAACAAAATAATTCTAATTCTTGCATGTGACGTTTGTTATCTACGTTCTGATGACACCACGAAATCCTTTTAATGGACAATGCTTTCAGTACATTGTACATGTGCGAAACGGCATTCAACATCCTAATTGAATTCTTTTAATTATCAATTTTTCGAACGCGTTCATGAAGTTCGAAGAATTTTTGCTTTTTTCCTTAATTGAATTTAGAACTTCATATGTGCAACGCCTTACGTTCCAAAAAAAGATCCGTTCTGGGATTCAAAGACGTTGTTTTTGAAAGAGAATTTATGTACAGTGGGTCTTGCCTAATTAAGATACATTTTAAAGGGATTAGCGTCTTTGATCAGTTAATACAATTGTCCAAACAGAGATTTTTACTTTGTGAGGCGTGTGACGCACATGTTACCTAAACTACGACGATTGTATCTTTGAAATAGCGTTGTAATGTTTCTTAGGAAGTCTTTTCTAATCTTTCTTGTTTTGCAGGCAACACTTGGCAAAGAACCACACTCTGCGAGTTTCTTTGACGAGTAAGAATTGATTGGTATCACTTTGGAGCGCAAAGGTGATTACAATTGTGGAAATAATCACTCACGGTAAAAGCATTTTGACGTCAAAGTGGAGTGTCTCTTTGGTATTTACACTGCGGATTAGTTGCATAGTCTGTTAGTCTGATACCAACCTCTTAGAAGCCATAGTTTCTTCTCAAAGTGTAATGTGTATTCAACCAAAGAAGTAGAAAGGATTGCGAAAGGGAAGCTCTGAATCTTGCAAAGGATTGCTTAACAATTCATCTATTGATTTCTAACCTACAAACTACTAAGGAATTTTCTAGGCTAAATTTAAGGAAAAAGGCTGCAAGAGGCAAAGGTCTCAAAAAACATGAGTTCAGGGAATCAAACCAATCCAACACCAAATATGGACCTGCCATGTCAAGAAAAAACGAAAGAAGAGTACATTTACCAAACAGCATTTCTGATCCTAATCATGCTGGTGACATTCCTGGGAAACTTCATGGTATGCTTGACTGTATACCTTCATCAGCGACTCCGCACGGTCACCAATTACTTCATCGTATCTCTGGCCGTGTCAGACTTGTTGCTCTCTCTTCTATATGTTCCCTTTCGTATCGAACAAACGATTGACAATGGTTACTGGTGCCTCCGCAAGGAACTCTGTGCAACGTGGATCGTGATAGATTTGGTTTGTACAGGTGCATCGATTTATAATCTGGCTGCCATCTCGGTGGACCGCTACATCGCCATAGTGCACCCTTTCAGGTACCATTCCGTGATGACCACAAAGGTCGCTCGGATAATCATTGCAATCATCTGGGCCTACTCCATAACCTGGGCGGGTTTCTCTGGCATAAACTGGACAGATTCTGAGCAACCTCCTTATAACTGGGACTCTAAGTGTTTTAAGAAAGATAAGATTTTTTACACTATTACTACGGTCACCGACTTTTTTTTTCCGCTTATGGTTATATTGATCATGTACGGACTAGTATTTCGTGTGGCCATGACCCAAGCTCGAGCAGTAGCGTCTTTGCAACCTCAACTTTCTAAACGGGATGGCCGCGGTCGAAGGTTTTCAATCAACATCGTGAAAGAAGTAAAAGCTGCCAAGACCCTGGCCATTGTCATCGGCGCATTTGTCGTTTGCTGGTTGCCTTTTTTTGTCTTCTTGCTTGTCAGTCTGTGGGACTTAAGTTTGTTGACGCCACCTAAAGTCTCGGAGGACGTCCTTACTGGTTTGCGTGCCACATTTTTGTACGTGTTACCGGCAATTAACAGCACGTTAAATCCCATTATATACGCACTATTTAACAAGGAGTTCAGGACTGCATTTGTTCGATTGTTGCGTAGGACATGCGGAAGACCATTGACCAATTCGGATGACGCCCATTACAGCATGAATTCCAGCGTACTAAACGACGGCCACAAAACTACTAGGACAAATGGCAAATCGAGGAAGACCAGATTTCACGAAGTACAAGGGGATGATGATCCAAGTTCAGACGAACCGAAACATGTTTAGAATCGCTCTTTTCCCCATTGGAACCCGAAGCCTGCGAATAATTTTAAAATTTGACTTTCAGGGAGATTCAGCTTATGAGCTTAAGGAAACTGTCTCAAGTAAGCTATGAATAAGTACATTGGTTAATCCTGATTTAAATCAACGAAAGTCTTTGATTGTGGAGTAAGTTACTCTTTTGAAATATCATTGATCAATGATGAAGAGCTTGACCGAAATCTCAAGAGAACAGGAGTCCACTAATTCCATCTTGTTGAAGCAAAACGATACAAAAATGAACTGCATCATTAAATCATTCTTAAAAAATAGCAAATATTCCTGTGATAGCTATTTTACCCATTATACATGAGTCGGCTTTGAATTGAAACTTGCCAAATAATAATCGTGCAATTTTAAGGACTATTCCATCGACACGCAAGATGGATAATTTAATTTTAAGTACATATTTTTATCAATTACACGATAATTAGGAGTCAACTTGTAGATGTGTACAGTCAACTTAGAAAATTGAAGTCACACACACTTACGAACGCTCGTTGAATCTATTTATAGCACGTCTGTCGTTGGTGAAGTTTTGTGCATCCTAACCTGAGTAAACTTAGTTTCAAATATAAATTTTAAGCCATAAAACATTACTTGTCGCGACACTCAATATAAAGTCAATGAAGTTTTCTCCGTTCACCTTAAGGTGATCGACTGAAGTTATTGGAGTATCTCGTTTTGTAAATAAGACTTCTGCTTAAGCTGGTTGAATGACTTCTGGCATGATGTGTAGGTTAGAAAACATAATTTCCATTTCCTTGTTTGCAATTGACGTCTGAGTACCAGAAAACAAACAGGTTGTAACATTGTTTGCAACCAGATTATACTTGCAAATGATTATTGATCCATTAGATTTATGAAACTTTTTCTCTGTGGCATCAAATGACAACGTGTGCCTTAGGCTCTGCCATATTTGTTTCAAGTCGTTGTGTGTAGTAAACAGGTTTTCCTTTTCGATGAACGCAGTGACTGGTTGCGTGTGTGATTTTTGCGATTCAAAAGAAAACCCTCAGCCGGAGCAGCCTGAAAATGGCAGTTGAACCTCGCTACCTCGAGCGGCTCACTTCACCCAGACTTCCTCTCGTCGACTCAGACTTAAAGCCATCTCCCTTGAAATACATTTTCGATCTGTTTACTTTCAGATGACTCGAACCCTTCTGGCAGTATCTCAAAGCGTCTCTTGTTTTCCTTAGAAAAATTCAAGTCAGCGAGGTTTCATTGTACTAGTCAGACGTTCGAAAAGCCAGCCAGCGAAACATGAAAACGAATCGTAAAAAAGGGGATCAGACATTGACAAGTTGACATTAAAATTTCAAAAAGCTTGGTCTCCCCGCAGACCTTCTACTCTGTTTCTGATCGCCGTCTAGTGCGCTCATAAAATAACAGATGTAGGGGGTTAAACGAACGCGAGGGTAGGGGGTTGGAAGGTGTTATATGCTCGTTCTTGCGTGTTTGCTTCGCTCCTTCTCTCTCTGTAAATGAAGCCTGTCGATTGTGCAAAGTAAATCGGGCAGAATCGATAAACTCATGGTTGTTTGCAACTTTCATGCTCCCTTCAAAAAAAAAACAAAAAAAAAAACAGCTCTTTTACAAGAAACAATAGGGTTAATTTTGTATTGTGTGCACTTTATTCCCATGAGAAATGTGAAGTGAAGCTAATTCTAGAACTCAACCTTCATCATAGGTGCATATGTAAAGGAAAAGCAACGTCGATGTACATCCTCTTACCAGATAAGGATCGATAAAGCTTTTTATGCAATACTGCACTTGAAACACCAAAGACAAAAGCCAGCTGTCAGTTTACCTCCCAGTTTGCATCTACCGCTATGCAAGCCAATTTCTGGAAGGTCTCACCTTGGACAACTCGAAACTCAGTCATATCTCGATCATTAGTGATGAGAGCCGTTGAAATGTTTTCGCGCCCATCATTTCTATGCCACTACTCTTTAAGGAAGATCAGTAATAGGGGAATTGTCATTCTGCGATTCTCAGCACGGAAAACAGACTAGATTCAGTGGAAAAAAAAGTAGTGGATAAAGACTCCGCCGCAAAATTTCTTTCTGCTCGCTGTTCATTTTGATATTTCCAGGATGCGTCATCATTACAACAGAAGAAGAACACTCTACGCTCGCAAACTGATTTCCTTTTCCTCGCACGTGAAGTACATTTATTTTTTTTTTAACTTGAGAAAGAGTTTCACCCGCGTACATGATGAATTCGAAGCTAAAATTAACTGCCCATTGGATTCTTCCCTCTTCCATGGAATCAACCAATAAAACAGCTAACACTTATTGTCTCGGTTGTAACTAATACTCAATAAAATCCGGCATAATTTGTTTATGTAATTAGCAGAGAATGAGCTTAAGCCTTGCTAAGAGAATTAAGAAATCCAATCAACTCATAAAATATCGGCTTATGCAATTGTTAAGTGGCCGAAGTGACGCCATCATAGACAACAACATCTTTCGTCCATAGCAACACATGCGACGCCATCCAGATAAAAACTAAAGAAGATTTGAGCAGTTGTCCGACTTTGCTAAATGCATAGCAAACCTCAGGTGTCCGAGGCAGAGCGATTTCAAGTTTGGCACTGTTTAAATGAATAAAAAAAGTATAGCGACCAAGCTGACCAAACGAGTCGGTCAAGGATGCTTGACCGGAGCTCAACCAACATGTTTCGATGAGATTAAGTCGCAATCGCCATTAATCATCTTAGCGCATTCTTGACTGCGCAAACGTTCGAGAAACTTCCGTTAACAGTCAAATTATTTCAAGTTTACCTAAGAGCAGATCTTAAGAACTGTTTATCAGTCACAAAGTTGCCAAGGAAAAGCCGATTTTTTTTTTGTTGTTTTGTTTGTTTGTTTGTTTTTGTCTCTTTTTTTTTTGCATTTTGGGGAGCCTTTTATCTCTCGTCCCAGGCTCCTCGCCAGCCAACCCGTGAACACAACCACTTTAGGCCGCTCCCCGCCAAGACGGCATAGACGACGGCAAGCGATACGAGCTTGCTTTAAACGCAGGCTACTTGCCTGCCCGATTGTCTGAAACGGGAGTTCTCGCTGCTTTCCCGCTCCCTCTACGGTGTCTGTTAAAGAGCAATGCAAAAGGAAAGGCCAAATGACAATTTTGAACTGTTGAACTGCTGTCTCCTGACCATGGATACATGTTTTTCGAGTCAGGTAATTGGATTCTGTAAAATAACCCAGCACTTCCACAAACCATCCATTACCCAGCTTCGTTAATGTATTTCGCATATTGAAGCAATTACAAAGGTCGGGGTTGGAACGGCTAATTCTAAGCTCTAAGTCAAAGGAGACGAGTAAAATAGCCCGTAGACGACTCACGCCAGTAGTCAAAGGTAAAGTCAGCGGAACGCACAATTTTTCGCCCGCCTTTCTTTTCACCTCTTCGCTTCCACCGGCCGAGGGAGCGTGGCACACACCTCTTTAAGCGATAGACATACCTTATTGCTCTTTACCAAATAGCATTTTGTCCTATCTTCTCTTCTAACAATTTTTTTCAAGTAAAGAAGAAGACAAGTGTTGGGGGGTTTCACCAACTCGCTTGGACGATTTAACGCAGGGTGCCAAGACTCTGTACTTTTCTTCTTTATTCTCTACTCTTCTATTGTTGCTACTACCTTCTACTACCGCAGCTATTTCTCTTCCATCTTTTAGCAAGGAGTGCCCGCGTATTTAATGAAAAAATCACAGACATGCCTTGGGTTAGCTGACCGTGGGAGTTTCCATAGTGCATTCGTTGTTTTGCAAAAGGGGGAAATTGGGTGGCTCACTCAGAAGCACTTGGCGAGCACCAAGGAACCAATCAAACGCCCAGGATCGTGTTGCGCACGAGAATCACGCGCTCAAAACAGGATCTTCAGTGTGGGTAAAACTCGAGGTCAGCTTTACCAACCCAAACATGACCCCCTATGAAACTAATTATTCTCAACCATAACAAGCGATTAAAATGTCCAGCACGACAAGAAGGAAATATGCGAACTGAGCCAAGTTCAAGCATACACTAAAAATAAAAGGTCAAAACTATAAATTTATCAAAATAACACGTAGGCGTAAAAAGGCGAGACTCAATAAAACAAAAGGTAAGCTTAAAAATACTCGAAATAGCAATCCTTGAAAATGCTCTACAACACAAGTTTACCCAGTTTACCGAGTTACAGCCATTGTCAGAAGTGCTAAGCCAAGAAAACTGTTTAACCATTTTTCACTTCACCCCCTACAAAGGGCATAACTCGCACAGCCTACAGGACGGGTTTCTTTTTATCTTCAGGTTTTTATAAGAAGAAACTTAGCCAAAAATTGTTCGTTTAAAACAAACGCGAGGAGGGGCTGCAATTAAAACGGGAACTACGATAGAAAAGGTGCAGCATTAGGCCCGTGTAATTCTGAACCCTCTGCAGCCTAAGGTGTTGAATAGGAGAATTTGTTTAACAATCAAGAGTTTCCGTCTTTTGTTGGTGATCATTTCCTTTATTCTCCTGACCTTACAGCAGTGATACTAATTGAACTTGCACATTTTGATTATGACTTGACGTTTCGAATGTACTCCACATACATTTTCAAAAGTAACCGTTGAAATTTAAAACAGCTATGTATATATATAACTAAGGTGAGGGGACTGAAACCAAGATTAAGCAAAAAACTTAACAATAAACAATAACACTAGAGCAGATTAATAAAGCAACAGCTTTTCACTTCTGACGTTCATGTTGAAAGCTGGCTCAAGTTCTTGAATAAGTAAGGACTCTTTGATTTTACAATGGTAGTCTGTTTTGCCTTTTGCCAAAATATCAAAATGATCCCACTTGATATTATGTCCAGTGGCCTTGACGTTTTGACGTGGTCGGCAATGGCTGAGGTATTGTCATTTTTAGCGAGGGCCTTAATCAAATACCCCATTCACACCAAAGCCTAAACATGCTTTAAAGCTGTTTTGTTAAACATGGTTTAACACAACAGCTACATAAAAGCTACTCAAATCAATATTTGGTTGACTTCAAATGTGGCACATTGAAAATACAATTTAGCAATAATTGCTTGAATCTTGTGGAAAATTTAGAGTCCTTACTTATTCAAGAACTTGAGCCAGCTTTCAACGTGAACGTCGGAAGTGAAAAACTGTCGCTTTATTAATCTGCTCTAGCGTTATTTATCGTTTATTGTTAAGTTTTCAGTCCCCTCACCTTAGGGTGATATTGTAAGGAGAAATTATATTCTATTCATTGTTGGGTCCTATCAGGGCGGAAGGGTTAGGAAGAAGGGAATCGGAAAAAGATGAAATTACGTTTAAAGACCAAAAAATAAAAGGAGTCTAATGGAAACGAGTGTTTTTTTTTTGTCGTTGTTGTTTTTGCTTTGTTTGTTTTTCCTTTTGTTTGTTTGTTTTTTTTTTGATGCGTTTTGTTCAGGTATCTTGAGAAAAATTACGCCAACTGTTTTTATGGTTCGCTGGTCAGTGGAAAGTTCTTTTCTTTATAAGGCGTCTCCTGATCAACCGTCTGTGACCCTAGACAACACTGAAGAATTTGGACTGTTTGCTCCAATAGGGGTGGGAAGCGTATAATAATTGTTTCAATGGTGCAAAATTTTTCAGTTAAGTGGTGTTCAGAGCATAAGTCTAGATTTTACTCAGTACTCAACTTCCTTTGTTGTACTGTTTCCAAAATTTAAATGCATTGGCAGAAATATCAAATATGAGAAGGTTATAACAACTTTCCTAGGCGTCCCCTCCCTTAGTTCAATTCTGTATAGCTGCTCAGCGGTTGACAAAAAAGTTCGAAAATGGCAGTCACCGAGCTATGACTACAAGTAGATCCACAATACGATTATATGTTGATTCGGTCGATTATCTGTCGACCTCTGCCACCGAAATGCCATACGAAGAGGTGCCTTTAAGCACTCTTAAATCGAACGGTTACAAGAAGCTCCGAAACAAGGCAAATTTGCGGGCGAGTCCTGAAGATGAACCAGGATATGGATCGACCGACGATGCTCCGTTGATGGTAGACGAGGTTGATGATGATTTTGACGACGATCGTGGCCTGTCTGAGGGTTATCAGTCCTCTGATAGCGGAGATAAGGACAGGAGAAAAGGGAAAAGTAAGCGAAAGAAAGAAGGGTGCTGCATGCGCTGTTGGAAGTTTTGGTGTTGCTGTGGGTTTTTGTCGTCTTGTCGAAGGTAAGCAAGCGAAACTAAATCCTTTTACAAATTTTCATGCTTTAGGCTCCTTAAACGTAGACACTCCTTAAACGATGCAAACTGAATAGTTACCGATCTCATTGTTAAAATTACACACTAAAATTGCTTGTAAAATTTGTCAGTAGCATTGCTCAATTTTTTATCACTGACTCACATAAATTTAAAACTGACCTGACATGCAGCTGCACAAGACATGTTATAACGTATAAACTCCGTACATACAGGTGTCCTTGCCCTCTTACTTTTATTTGTCTCTAGTTTTTATATTTATTTCTTTGCCAATATCTTTTTATTGTATTATGATAAAATTGTTATCAGAATGTGATCTGTTGAAATCATCACTGGCTTATTTAGTTCAGAAGTTAAAAGATTGATCGGCTCCGCATTTTATTTTTGTATTTTTCAATTATTCTTTGTTTTGAATAACTATGGAACTATAGAGGAAATAAGCTTGATCACTTTCTTCCCTGTTTTCAAGGTGAAAGGCCTCAGTACTAATTAGTACTTCAGTACTACAATTACCCTTGGCAGGGTGTCTCAGCCCTTTACACTCTAAAATAATTATTCTTATTGAAAACTAGATCATTGGATAATGTAATTCAAGACTTTTTATTGGCTTAGCCAT